ATCAAAAAAATCAAACCTGCAAGAGAACTCATTCTATCAGTTAGATACTTAAAAAGGAATAAATGTTCAAAAGATGCTGCCAGTTAAGCTATAGAGAAAAAAACAAAAGACAACATGCTAGGTAAAGAAAATAAGGAAAATGTTTGAACCATGATAGAAATTCATCATGTGATGTAAATATGTCAGGCAGAATAAAATGCATCAGTGACCAAAGCTCAGACAAGTTGTTTTGAAGAGGGGTTCCCGTCAGCAAAAGCTTGTTCTCCATCTGCAAATATTTAAGCTCTCGAATCAACTTGCACTTGTGATTTTTCAACCTATGGCCCTGTAAAATAAAAGAAAAAAACAATATTAATGTCAATGTTGCTGATACAAACTTAGAAGCCTAGTACATTAGCCAATCTAGAAACTTACCTCATCAATGACAACATACTTCCATTGATATTGACGCAGATTCTTTCTCGCATCATTCATAGCCACCTCATAAGAAGTGATGACAATGGGGAACTTGGGACCAACGGTTTTAGGCATATGCTTACGCCTAATTGCATCCCTCTGTTTCTTGTCTCCATGGTAAATGATGGAGTTGACTGAAGGAGTGAACCTATTCAACAAAAAGAAGAAAAATTGAACTAAAGACCCGAAAGCTTTGCATATATGTATAAACACAAATGGTCAAGAGAATACCTAGCGATCTCATTCATCCAATTTGAAAGAGTAGACAGTGGAGCAATTACTAGATATGGACCATGCACCCCCTTTTCTTTCAGATGTGATAGGAAACCAATCGTCTGAATTGTCTTTCCAAGTCCCATTTGATCAGCTAAGATTCCATTCACACCATTTTGCCACACTGATATTAGCCATTTAACACCATAGAGCTGATAAGACTTTAACTTCCCACCAGTCAGAAGAGGAACCAGTTCTCTCTGCTCTTTCATGACTCTTTCTTCCTCTGTCAGATCTGAGTCTGGAGTTTCATCACCTTCCTTAGATCTCAAAACCATAGCAGCAACAGCTCTCTTCGCCTTAGTCTGAATGCAGAATAAAGCATCCAAATAAGTTGATTTTACAAACAAGCAGAAAATAAAATAAAAAATAATACAAGATCACGGTAGATGAAGTTAATAAATGGAACTAACATTGTTGTACTGAGGAGCAGCCTTTCTTTTGCGTCCTCGTCCACTCTTCTGGGGCTCAGCATTTTCGCTCACGGGCTCGGCTTTTTCGCTCTCAGGCTCGGCAATTTCGCTCTCAGGGTCTTCTTTTTCGCTCTCAGGCTTTCCCCCATTCTATTAAAGCACAGATTTCACACAAGTACTCAATTAAGAATAGTGAGTTCCATTAAAAACGTGAAACCAACAAGGAGATAACAAAAAGAAGTTTACTTTTGTGCTGTACTCAATTCGCTCAAGGAGATACTCAGAGAAAACCTCGGTTGTTTTCAAGAGCTCATCCAGCTTACTTAACTTGTCCTTAGTAAGAGGCTCAAGAGGCTCCTCGGGCACATCACAGTTTGCTTTCTCTTCATCTTCCCGGATTTTGAGCAGCTGCTCTTCCTCTTGAGCAATGGTTTCAGAAATAAGACATGCATTTTTGGCTAAGAGTATCTCTTCCTCAGCAGCAGTAATAGTTTTCTCATCACAGTTTTCCTTCACAGACAGAAGGAAAAGGGACAAATCAAGTAAACAAGTAACACACACACACAAACTTTTCACATTCCTGAAAGAGACAAAAGGAGAAAGAAAGGAAGCAAACTTTTTCTACTTCTTAAGCAAAACCCCACACACTACAAAGGAAGAGTGAATAACCATAAAACGAAAGGGAAAAAGCTAAAACCAAGAACAAACCTCTTCGTTGAGAACAGAAGTCGGCGAATCGACAGATGCATCTTTCTTCGTTTTCCCTTCGCTTGCCATTTTCAAAGCCCTAAGAATCCGAAAATCAAATGAGAAAACAAAAAAATCAACACGGAAATCGATGATTACAGAATCGATAGAAATCAAAACACGACGAGCAAATATTACGCAGAGAGGATGACCAAAAACCCCCAAAAACAGTGAGCGATTCTCGGAAAAATCGCCGGAAAACAACACCGGAAAGAACGAAATCAAAGCGAAAGCGAGATACTTACGTAGTAACGTTCCTGGAACGGAGAGTAACCATCGGAAAAGAAGGAAGATCCGGCGAGAAAATTAAAAAAAAAAAAACCAAACGGCGGGAGAAAACACCGGAACAGTTACCGTCGCTTTGGGAGAGCAAATTTTCAAAACGAGGGGTATAATGAAAAGACGCACTATCACACGTTCGCTTATTCCCCATTTTTTATTAATTGGAAGTAGCGCCTAAGGGCGGGAAACTTGAAATGCCACTTTTGCGCCTGACCTTTTGTCTTATTTACGATTTTGGTGATTTGATTATTTAAAAATTAAAATCAAACGGTATGGGCATTGAAGAAAGATAATTCACTTTCCTTTTGACTGAAAATAATCTGTACTATACACGGAAACAAAATAAGAGAAAATTTGGAAAATAGCTAAAATGGTGAATCATATCAAATTAATTAATTATGAAAAAATAAATTACAAATTTAACTTTCCTTATGCCACGGTCACTTCAGTTTCTCCTTAAATCTCGTATCAAACACACAATAATCGTTGACAGAATCCTTAAATAACTTTTGTTTGAATTAGATCAAAAGTTTACATAATCGTTGAACAAAGCTGATCACAATGCCGTTAGGAGGATAATATGCAATAAACTTTTTT